GCAGCCTGTCCCGTGACGGGCACCGAGCACCGGAGTCTTCTCATACCGCAACTATGTCTGCCCTACCCAAGGCCAGCCATCCTTGCAAACGTCACGCCCGGCTCGCTTCACGTCGTGCGCGCTCGTTTCATTGGACCCTGCAGCAGCTCATTCTCCCACGTCGTGCTCAATGAGGGATCCCGCCCTACACCAGGCCCAATTTCATCCCACTTGCTGTGTCACTCCAGACACCTCATCACCGCCCCAGCGAAACACGTACCAAAGACGTCGTCCCGCGGATTACGACGTCTTCGAAATATCACCGACGGTACGCGCCTGCACTCGTCATGCTTATGCTGACTTGCCTCCTCGGCGAGGGCGGAATCCGTTGGGGCGCGGCTCTCCCGCTGTCGCTTGTATACAACACCACCGCCAAGCGCCATTGGCGGAAGGCACAACCGGTGCAACTTCCGACTTGCGAGCGGCTGGGTGGCGACGTCACTCACTCTGCCCATCCATCGCCATACGGCCCCAGCCCTGAGATGCACCTCGTCTCAGCTCTCGTTGCCAGCCACCAATCCAGCGTTCTTCCGCCACGCACGGTACCGTCAGCTGAATCGTCGCTCCCGACCCGAGACGAGCGCATCTTGGTACAACTCTTGCAGTAAGTGTGGCGAGCGACGCATCGTCAGATTCACGATGCCCCAAGATCGCATCAGGACTCCAGCCCCAATCCTGGCTAGCAGCCTTCACCGCCAACTGCCGCCGTGACGTACCCGGTATAACAACGTCTGCTATCCGGTAGCGCACGACAGTGCATCATCTCCTAGGCTGCTTCCAGATGTATTGCATCTTCCGATCTTATCAATGTTCAAACTGCACCATGGCTCTTTTCCGCCGGTTCACAGTACCATGGGAAGACACTCTGGGGTAACGGCTACAACGGCTACAACTCCAGACAAGATCACTGTCATGCCAATTGCGGGGTAAAAAGTAACTCTGGTATCCAAGTACGCCGACGTAGACTGACCCGAACATCAAGCGAACGTTCTGTACCAACATTTGTGACGACTCCAGCACGCAGGCATGAAGCCAGCGCATGGCACACGCAAACGCCCCAAACGCTCCCGGAATCGAATCCATCAGTGTCCAACGTTGCGACACTACGTGGTTAGAAACGGCCCTTCATCATGTTCACAATATGCGCGTCATTGCTTTTGGCGTCAGGCACGCCTACCCCAGGGGACGAATCGCAGACCATAGCAACCCGTGCTACTACCGTCTAACGTCAGTAGTCTAATTCACCTCGCTTAAAGGCTCAGCTCTCGCTGTCACGTTGTCGACAATGCAACACCAAGCAACACGGATAATGACTTATCCCACTCGGTAGTCGCAATTTTCATGAAATTGTCCGAAACATGATCGCTTGTGGCGCCTCACACGATGTCTCGAACCCACACTGCACTGTCTAATACGTTGTATCCGCCATCTCCACACCTCCACCTGCAGCGCCATGCATGATTTCAAGCTTCAACGCTAGAATCTCTAGCGCGGGCTCGGTCCTTTCTTGGGTCACGTTATCGGGCCGCTACCATACACGCAGAGCACATTCGGCAACTGCCAGAGATCAAATGTTGACGTGAACAGATGTGCAGCATGGATTGACATCGGAATACCGATTCTAGATTCTCCGACTATGCAATCGAAGGATTCCGGCCCTGGACAGCTGAGACGTTGTGATGTTGTGTTCGGTCAAATACATCATCTTCGGCCCTACATCCATGGGCAACACGAGCGCACGATCAGCCTTGTGACGTCAACCTCGACAGGATGAATCGTTCCTCTAGGCAGCTGAACCTAACGCTGGCGAACTGCTCCGCGAACGATGTTGTTAGAGGCGATGGGATCGAGCATGGCCGACCTTATCTACCTGATCGGCAATATGCTAGTAATAGCTTCCTCCCGCACTTCGGGATAACTACATCCAGTGTGTTGATATGCGAGCCCGCGCGTCACTGTCGCGCATGTGTGCGGCGTGGCATATGTCATCCCGCCAAACCCTGGCTTTTGTGACGAAAGATGCAGCACTCATCAGTCGATGCTCCTCGGAACCGCAATCACATTCCAGAGGGACTGACCTTCCGAAAAGGTATACTATGGGAATTTGTACTCGACGATCGTTCAGGCGTAATGTGGCAGGTCCGGCTTGCTTTACCCGGTGGGATGCACGTTGGAAGTGAATCATTTGTATTGGATGATCGTCGATATCGTCAGGCTTCGTGAGTAATGCTGTGTACATGACTTCTTTCGCTCACCCTGATGGTCACGGACTGCTCTTGACATCAGAAGACACGTGTGCTCATTACAACACCCGATTACCTCTTGCCCTTCGATCCGTCAACAGCGACAAACCGAGATGCTTATCTGTGTGGAACGACTATACGCGCAAGAGACCCATCACGACCGAAGTACTGCCTGGGAACGATGTCGTAACAGCGATGAGAGTGTGTCATATGGACATGTCTTCGTTTCAATATAGGGGTATCTTCTCAGCATCGATGCATTACATTCCGCCCATCGGAGCTTCGAAACGGCCGACATCTTTCAGCCTCATTCTCATCATGGACATATATCGAAACCATTGCTAAAACTCATCTCTTCAGCATCTCATCACTACACAGTCTCGTTGAGTACTCGCTGCGGGTGCCTAATGCGGGTACGGCCTGCTGCAGCCATTTGTCGTGCTAGCACCATTGGTCCCAGCCTGAAGATTACGCCCGTGCAAAGATCGCAAAGTCTCCTATCGGGGGTTTCATATCATATATGATCCATCATGATTTGTTTAGGTGCTAAGCCCTTCGCAGTTCAAGGCTTCTTCTGCAAGGAGTAGCTGACCACATTCCATATGGGTACCAAGCGAAAACGAGGCCTAGTAAAACAGGGCCATATGTCCAAGTGAAGCAAAGCACTTTCGCCCATTGTGAGTCATTCTTCCTCATAGTACAGATAACAGTTATGACACAACCAGACATTACCCAGAGTAAAAGAGCGAGGAAGATAGGATACTCCCAGACCACGTCCTCTACAATCTCTAAACCCCAGTCGTGAACCAATTTTTGGGTATCAGTCAGCCGACTCATAGAACTCTGGCCAAACCTTTTGGGAACTCGGTTGCGCACGCTTGTTTCTTGATACAGACCCGGATCGCAAGAGTATTTCCGATTTTTCCTGTTCATGCAACGAGCCAAGTAAGTGAAGGACCAACGATGTTTGAGGGAACCAGAAATCGGCGGTAAAAGCTCGTCGATTTGGACAGTGGGATAGTCTGGATCATGTAGGGTGAATGTAACGCATCGTACATCAGAGACTCTGTATAACCGGGATGCGATCCTTCCACGATGGCTGATAGCGACATCTGTATATCGACGGTCGAGTTCTTCGACCAAGTGTCCGTCTGTTTTCACCTCTGACAAGCCGATTTCAACTAGCCGCGTTTTCTTTCCTCGTAGGGTTATACAAAGTTCAAGAGTAGGTTTATCAAGAAAGCGGGCGAGATTGGAGTCAATTTCATTGAAGCTGTCGAGTGCTCGCGATGCCGAAGGGCGAAAGACAGGCTCCTTTTTAAGCATATCCCGAACTAATTCTCTAAACTGAGTGCAGAAGAAACCCAAGGCCGGACTATCGGAATCAGCAGATGCCGTATCTTGAACTTGAAGTATGTCATTGATGAGCGTGACATTGTTCGCGAATTGGCAGCTATCAAGACCCATCGCTGCGTTGTACACATCCAGGAGCTTTGGCCAGGGTCTAAGAATGCCTTCTACCAAGGCAAAACAACAACCCAGAGAAAAGACATCAGAGGCCAGGGTCGGGTTTCTGCTCTTGGCTTTCGGATCTTCATTCGTGATCTGCTCTGGTGCAAGGTACTGGTATGTTCCCTTGTTTGCTGTTGTAGCGCCGTGGATATGCTCCTTGCTGATACCGAAATCGATAATGATAGCACGAACCTTTAGCTCCCCAGACCTCTCAAACTCGGAATGAAGGACGATGTTGTCAGGCTTGATATCCTCGTGCCGGATAGGGCCAAACCCGGGGTGCTCGCTATGAAGGTACGCGAGGCCACTCAAGCACTGTCGCACGATACTTGGCCAAGGGTCCAATGTCCCGGGTACGAACCAGGACAAGTCCGATCTACCGCCATTCGTAGAAATTCTCTCGATAAACTGTTGAAATGACAACTGCGCCCATGGCTTCGTCACGAGATAGACGTTGTGCGCCCAATTCGGATGATTGATGATGTACGCCTCTTCGAGCTGAACAATGTTCCGATGCTGACACTGTCGCAGGAACTTGATTTCTCGGGCGACCTCTTTCTGGTGGTCCGGGGACTTGATTTCGATTCGCTTGCTCGCGTAAACTTGCTGCTCGCCGATGAGCGGTATCCCCGAAGAACGGGTAGCTCGAGAAACGGTTCCGTATCCCCCAGTGGAGGGGGGACCTTTTGATCTGTCTTCCTTGTATGGCACATCTCTCTCAGCCCTGTATGTAACGACTCCTGCTGAGCAGAGGTCTTCGGCCCAGGCTATCGCTCTGTAGTATGATGGGCGAAGATCCATCTAGTCATCGCTGGCAAGTATTGCGATGTTGAAGACGTGGTGGGCGGGGTTCACACGCCAAAAGCCCAAGGCAGCAGCTTAATTTGTGTGCAATCTCACTGGTGCGCTACCCCTGCAACCAAAGTTAGTAATCGACATCATCGTGCTTTTGTGGCTGGTCGCGTTGACTGCGATTGGTGGTCACTCCGGTTAAACGCACCAACCGGATTGGCAAGGCTGAATGAATTGGTGTGCGACAACAGACACAAGGCTGTCTGAAAAGCAAGAGTAAATCGTGATAATGCGAACATTACAAACGACGCAAACCAGCAATGAAGATAGTCAAAAGAGACGTCTAACATGATCATAACTCTCATACCAATCGCGATCTCAACTCAACGATCCAGATCAGAGTCCTCAATCTCCTCACGGCTTCCTCTTCCCTTTCCCCTTCTTCTTGGCCCCTTCAGCCTGCAGCACCGTCTTCTCAGCAGCAGCAGCATTCGCCCTCTGAGCCATCCTCTCCAAAACAGCCTTCCTCGCATCCGCCTTCTCCTCCCTCTCCGCCCCCAACCAATCAAACACACCCTCCACATCCGTAAACTGCTTGAACCCACCCTCTCTCCACGCATCCCCATGTATCTTCTTCCCCGTCTCTTTATCCATCTCAGCAGCCTTTTGCGAACTGAGCGCCCGTCCCCAGCGACAATACACCAACCCCTGCGTAAGCACCCTCACCCTCACACCCATATTCTTGTACTCTCCTTTCTCGTAGGCGGGATTGTTAGCGGTAGACGAAGCATCCTCCCAGCCGCCACGGCGATACGCAGTCACACCGTTAAAACATATAATTTGCGTCAACGCCGTGTCGCCTCTCGCACGCTTCTTCTCAGATTCACTCAACGCATCACGCCGCTTCTGCTCTTCCTCGTCTACGTCTTCGTACTTATTCCGCATATTTCGTTGGCGCATAGAAGGGTCGTTCCAACACTCCATAATCGACGAATCGTAGTTATCTTCTTTGAAGAGCGGGACGTGGTGGTATGCTGTGTGCGGATCGAGGTGCATGTGCAGGGAGAGCATGCCGGCGGAAACGGTGAGGCGCTGGAGGTCACCGAAGACGGTTTTGAGTGTCGGAGCGAGGATCGGTAGTGGTGTAGAGGCGGGGTGGGCAGGTGGGTGGACTAGTGAGAGGAGAGGCGAGAGGTGTGTCCATAGTGCTCCGATGATGGTGTTGACGTGGGCGTTGAAGTTGTGCGGGAGGGATGTCGGGGTCGGGAGGTGGGCGCGGATAGTCGCTGCATACCGTGCATTCCTGTCAAATCCTACGTTCACGTCAGTTCAAAATCTTTCATCCCCTCCACTTCATCCAAACTCACCATCCTGATCCTTCATCTCCCTCTGCACCTTGCTCACAGCTCTAACACCCTCCTCCGTCCCACCAAAGAACGCATGCTGCAACACCTGCAGAGGTAGAGGTACGAGGTCAGTACATTTCTCACATGCACTTCGTAAAGCCAGAACGTACCTGCTCACTCAACACATTCCCAATCATCGCACAAACCAACGCACGCAGTGTCTCTTTGTTGACAAAAAGATCGTGCCACCCCCATAGTCCACTCGGCCCTCCACTCGCCACACAGTTGATTAGTTTCGTTGTCGCTGGTGTTAGGGTTTTGAACCACGATTTCTTCACCTTGACATCCTCGTTCTCATCCGTCATCGTGTGTGCGGGGTCAGCGCCAGAAGCGAAATATCTCTCAGCAAACTCCTCCACAGCGCTCATGAGCCCCCACAATCCATCCCTTATCTCCGCGTCGCGGAAGGCGTAGTCTGGCTCTGAGGGTAGTTCTGCGCGGATGAGGCGGGGTGAAGAGAGCTCCCTCGCGCGGAGGTTGGGTTGTGTATTCCACCTCTCCTCTGGCGTCTTTTCGTGCCAGTCCAAAGGGTATTTAAAGGCTGGGGGATGGGTGGGGGTGGTGAGGGGTGAGGTCATGGTGCGTTGGGATGGTGGTTGTGATTTTGATTGTGGTGATGGTTGTAATGGTGTGATGCTTGGTTTGGTGGGTGAAGGTGAAGGTGAAGGTCTCGTCACTGTAGGTTTGGTGGTAGTAGTCGTTGATCTGACAGCCCCAGTTCGCGGTCGTGGTTGTTTGCCAACAGGCATATGTTTGAGTCTATCTACTTCGATCTCGCCAGTACTAGTCATGTCTGGTCCGGCTGACGTAGTGGTGGGAGAAAACGATAGTTGCAGGTCGTCGTCGCTGCTAGACCAATCAATTTCATCGATCGCTTCATCTTCTTCGGTCTCGGTTTCGCTGCCTGTGCACATCGACGGCGATGGCGATATCGCTACCTGAGTGCTTGTACTCGCCAGCGTCTTCCCTGCTTCGTTGTGTGTCTCTGTCCTACCAGTCCTACTACCTGTCCCACGCGCTTCAACCGCGTTGTACAAATCGCGCGAAAGTTTGCGCACGGATTTGGGAGTCGCATACGGCCGAGCATCGTCATCTCCATCATCACCCTCTCCAATCTCAACTCCAGCTTCAAGTTCAGCTTCGTCTTGAAGTTGGCACGCTGCCGCTACCTCCCCATCCAGCTCATCCTCATCCATCTCATATCCATCATCTCCATTCACCGCCACCGCCCCAGCACCAGCATAAACAGCATTCTGATATTCCTCCGGATCATACGCGTCTCTCTTCCTCTTCTCACCCTTCCCACCCAAGCGCGAAGTAGACGTGTCTGTTATATCGCGCTTCTTGGTGGGTGGATGTTTAGCGGGCGAACTGAAGAGGTTGTGGAGGAAGGACATCGCGCGCGATGGTGGTTGCGTTGGTGCGGTGAGGATGTGCGCTGTCGCCAGGTATGGTGAAATGGCTTTACTGAAGGGTCAGTCGCATGAATGCGATGTCTTGCGTCACCGGCTCTTGTATGCCCATGGTGGTTGCTTTGTCTTTGTCAAGCCGCGACCGCATCCGGCAGTGTTGGTGGGAGCGTGCAGCCGGATGGAGGTTTGCGAGTATTTTGCACGGGCGGGACAAAGACACCAAGAGCTATCATTGCGGTATCTTTGCAATGCAAAGCAACAATGGTGTCTTTGATGTTGTAGTTGCCTATTGTGTTGCGCAATCAGAGTCAGATCTGGTGAGGGTAGATGCATGCATCGCATCCTTCTGGCTTACTCATCCAGCAATCAGGTTAGCAGAAGAAACGCACGAAAGAAGCGTGAACCTTGTTGGAGGAAGAACCACTATCATTACCTCTGTAGAGTAAAACCCGCTATGCTAGATACGCCTGGCTCGATAAGTAAATGTAGAGCGATGATGCAAGGAAACGCTAGATGACAACAATAGACAAAGAAACTTGAATTGAGTTTATGACTTGGGCGGTGGTGTGAAGTTCTTGTAGAAACAAGAACATAACGTGCTCTCAATCTGAGGCTTGAGCCTAACGTCGTCGCCTGACGAGCTCGTGCAAGCTGGTACTCCTTGTCCACCTGCTACGCTTTGTTCAATCTTGACGGCTATTTCAAGTTAGTTGGTGTACGTGAGATGAGAGCTGCCAGGCTTGCTTACCATATGGCCACGCCTTGTTAGCGACCTTTCCCACTGCGATTGTGTCGTCGGGGTATGTCTGCTGCATCTTGGTGTACAAGATGCCCTGCATATTGGTCGCACCGTAGTCGCACTCAAAGTCGCCTCTCTTTCCTCCAAGGCTTCCAGTCATGTTCACAGTCTTGGACCGCGTGATCTGGAACCGGTATCGCTCCGTGTCTTTCCCTGCGTCCAACAGCTCGAGGTCTTCGTTCTGGAACGTCGTGTCGAATGTGTCGTCCTGTTTGCCTGAGGAAATCTTCCAAGAACCTGCAGATCCGCTGATGTCCCAGTTCAGAATGGTGAGGGCTTTCTGTTGGTCGTCGTAGTAGTTTGTGTTCGGCGGGCATGTCCACGTGTCTGCGTCTGAGGTGCAGTCTGTTGTGACGGTGTCGAGGAAGAGCACGAATGACCAGCTTCCGACGGGGAAGTTCGAGGGGACAGCGGAGGGTGTAGAGGAGGTGACTGGAGATGGGGGATCGTCGTCGGTCGTGGAGGGAGAGTTGGAGTTGGAGGCGGGCTTGCTATCTGTGCCTGCTGGTGTCGTTGAGCCGCCTGTGTTCGCTGCGGGTGTGCTACTGTGTAATTGTCAGCCCATATGCCCTCGATGTTAGCATGAGGTTGGCCTACCTCTTCGAGTCCTTCTTCAGTCCCATCGCCAGTCCAACGCCCAATGCCACGATCAGCGCAATGATCAGGGCGGCGACCACGGCAAGCTTCTTCCATCCCCAGGCAGCACATCCTCTCTGTCTCCGTTGCCGCACGTGTCCAAACTTCTCCTCATCCCGGTCACTCCACACGCTGACACTGAGATTGCTCCCATTGTGCATGTCCTCGCTGCTTTCCCTTGGCGTGAGCAACCTGCCACCCGTCAAGACCGATTGGATGAAGCCGGGCTTCTTCTCGACCCTGTGGTGTTGTACTGGCCCAACATGCTGATGCGATGGGTCGTTGCAGAATGTGCTTTCGGTGGTGACGCTGATTTCGGCGGCCTTGGACGAAGCCGACTTGCCTCGTTTGGCGTCGAGGATTACGGAGAGACGCTGGCCAGCCGGCGTCGAGATGCGCTTTGCCGGTCGGTCGTCACCAATCTCGTAGTGTGCCTTTGCGCGCTTGGAGCGATAGAAGTTCATTGGATCGGAGGCTGTGGGCTATATTGCTTGTGACTCGCGGTGTATGGTGTTCTGTGTGTCAAAAGAAAGCGTCCAAGTTCTCCTGACTGCAATGGCTATCGCTCTGCGGGTGGCTTGCCGCTATATCGCGCGCTATAGCCTGGGAGCGTAGGGATGCTGATGACGAAGACGATGGGGGTAGGGAGGTGAGAGGAAGATAACAGGAGCCTCCCTCCACGGCTGTCAGGCGCGACGCACCCGCCTGAGCCATGACAGCTCTCGAAAGCTTGTACGAGACGGAATCTTGTTGACATGATCCTCCTCAGGCCTCGAGCGTATGGGGCCTGCGCGATATCACGCGCTAGCGACCGTTATAGTATCGAAGTAAACTCCAACGGGCTAGGGGGTCACCCCATTCTCCTGACCATCACTCATGGAGCTGGTTCTCGGTGGAGCCGCACGGTGCTGCGTCGGGAACGGGTGCGCCATGCATGGGCAGATCATGAGAGCTTCGCGGGAGCTCTTATGCAGACAGGATGATGGCGTGCTTGACATCTGGGGTTGAGCAGGTATTCCATGGACCTGAGGCAGTCTCAATGCTCTGTCATCATTGCAAGGCGATGTCGCACGAGTGAAGTTTGTTGGTATTGTCGTTGGTAGTGTCGTTTCGGCGGTGTTTGTTTTGCTGAGTGATTAGGGGTCGTGTCGCTAAATCCGGAGCCTGTTCCTGCATTCGGCCCAGGGATCCGGGTCCGAGGGATTTTGCTGCCAAGCCTCGAGCTGCTCGACTTTCTTTCACGTGCTTGCGTGTACACACCGTGGCAGTCACAAGTGGCGACACTCACCGCGCGGAAGATACCACGCTGAAGATACCTGGGTAGGCGGTATCACAAAACTGTGATGTCTGATGAGAAACGACGCTAGTCGTCGACCGCGCTTTCCTCACGCGCTCTCGCTCTCACCGCGCGCTTCACCGACGCGTCACAAACGCGACTGCCTCAATCATGCTCTCGCCTATAGTGACGTTTGCACACCTGCGCGCACTTCAATCGAAAACCCCTTCACGAACGTCTTAACCTCAGCTTTGCCGTGCGACAGCTTCCTGGCGCCCAAACCGGGATCTCAAAGCAAATTGCTTAAGCTGTCTCACATCTCGCAAGCCTCAGTCAGTCAGCATGTCACCCCGCGTAACGGTCCGCCTTGTCCCCGGTTGCTCTGACGGTGATCCTCTCCATGTCCCGCCTCCAGGAGCTCATACTCAACTCGATCCACCGACTCTGTACCTGGAAAAGATCAGTCAACAATGGATGGAGAGTCGAGGTGAGGCTAAGCCCGGTGTACAGTACTCGCTCGAAGCCCTTCCCTTTGGTTATACTCTCTGGCATCGCCCGCGGCCCTCGAAACCAAGTCATTTTGACAAGTACCTATATGGCCATCCTGGAAAGAAGGCATTCGACTCACCGAATCGATTCTTTCCACATTTCCTGCATCTGATGAACAACAACGGTAGCAGCATAGGCTGCCCATGCACTGTTTGCAGTGGCACCGCGGGTATACTCCCCAAAACTTCAGCGAACAGCTCTCAAGTACGCAGCTCCAGCGCGGCGTCTTCACGGAAGTCATCCAATTCATCTGCTCCTATACAAAGCCGCCGTTCCAGTGCCCACAGCGTCCAATCGCTTCCAGTCGCACCGCCGCCTAGTCTGGCACCACAGCACAAAGGTCGACCCAAGAAGATCACTCCAGGGCTAGACACGAGCAATGTCGATAACGAAGGTACACCGGACGTATACAGGAACTTGATCGACAAGCTTCGCCGACACCAAGATCTGGATGAAGCCATACTAGAGCCGCTGAGCCCAGACTGGCGAGCTGAGCGAGACCAACTTCCCAAGTTTCTCAACGATATCAAGACACAAGACCAATGGGTTCCCCGAATTGGAGATATTGTGCTGTACATACGCAACATGCCTGACACCGTCGAATTGGTTCGAGACAACGCCACTGGAGAGCTGCAGCTGTACGACGAGCGGCGCAAGCAGCATCTTGGTGCTCCACAATGGGCGGCAGGCCTGGTCACTGAGCCCGCTACTGGTACTACGGTCGCCGAGCTCGTCGCCTCTACCCAGGAGCGCAATGTATCCAGCATAGGCGTACGCGTCGAACCGGTCCCGAATCCAAACGAGTCGGACAAGTCGCTTTCTAAGAGACACAAGTATGTCTTGTTGCGACAGACAAGCCCGTTCATGATGTGGAGAGACCTATTACGCCGTATCCCCCAAGAAGAATGGCATGACACTGTCAAAAATGCACTCGCCCTGATGTCGACACTGTCTCTCATGGGCAAGTATCGGTTCCGAGGATCCTGGCCCAACGCGAGCATATACTGCCATAGCATTTACGTTGGCGCTGAGATGCTCGCCGTGGGCGACACAGTCCGTCTCCTTCCTAACAAGCAGTCTGGGCAGTCTGGCTGCACGGATGTCATGAGCATCAAATCGATTCGGTTGAAGTGGACCAATCTGGACAAGGCCTCCGACAACGACTATGACGAGGGACGACCTTACAACTCCGAAATATGGATCTACGGGTCAGCGTATACAAGTGACGGGTCACGCTCGAACAAGCTTTGGGTTACTGATCAGAACGTCGAGGCTCCGCGGGTTGCAAATGATTACGCAGATTGGTACCCACTGCACCCGGCCGACAAAGAGCTCGCAATACCTTATTCACGCGTTCTTAGCCGGCTACACGAGCGGGACGCTGTTGCGTACTTCCTCAAATCCAATGACGACAACACTCCAGGACTCGATGTCGGCCGACAAGCTGTGGTAGAGGCGCGCGCCTTTGCACGAAAGCACGATAACCGTATTGCACAAGAGTCCGATGCGACTTGGTACTGGGGAGACGACCGAGCTGATGCTCTCAATCTCCGCACCATCAACGGTCTCGACGTCTCCAGATACGACCTCGACCGCGATGTCAAAGATCTCCGCCGCAAGTACCGCCAACTCGATGGTATCGCCAAAGGAGATGCGAAGCCTACAGGTCAAGACATACTCGACGGCAGGGGATTGCGTACCTTTATGGCGCCGGCTTTGCCACTCCGCACCAGCGGCGCGAAGGCACCAAGCGAAAGCGGAAGCTCGATGGCAAGCGAAAGCCACGCGTCCCGAAAGCGCACGCACATCGTCGACTTAGATGACGAGGATGACACTGAGGAGGATGACATCGACGAAGAGATCAGAGAGCACACTAAGGTTGTGCAAGATGACCGCCAAGGTCCGATGAAGAAGAAAGCGAAGGTGATGGTTGTCATCGATTGAAGAGCGACTGGGCGCACATGAACCAATAGACATGGTCCAGTATGAGCGATAGGGTACGAAGTTGGTACATGGCATATGCCCCTTTATGGCGAGAGATGTTACGATACAGCGGACACGGATATGATGGCGGAGATGATAGCCGGACTTTCTTTTTACGACGGCGGGCATGGAGGATCACTGTTGATACCCATTTACTGCGATATGCTCGAGCAACGGCATGTTCTGTACTGTACCAGATTCCCACGATATTACGGCAGATGCCAACACTGGCTGATTAGCAGCCACAATACCAACATATGATGAATATCCTCTCGTGTCTTCTGCTTTGGTGATGCACTTACGCAGCAACCCAAAGCGCATACTTAACCCATGCAACTCCCGCACCCACTATACCCTCTCAAACTCCCCGGTATCAACCTCATCAAGCTCAACATCACCTTCCACATTCGTGTTGCCCTCTTTATCTGCCCCAAATTCGAGCTTGCGTTAGTCAAGTGAGCAACCATAGCTAAAGCTTTGATGCTACGAGATTTGAGCCCGGTCCAGTCAAAGGCACTTGTTGTCATTCGTTGAGTTTCGGCGCGAATGAAGGCAGCGGGCAGGTTTGAGGCGTGGTAACCAACAGGTGGTACAGGTGAAGTTGACCACCCTGTGATCCCCGCACTCATCTTCGAAAGACTCATGACTGTGATTCACGAAAGTGAGTCATGCGTACTTCAAAAATCGATGGTAACGCGCTCCAGTATCTTCATTACACAACATGCACGACGGTCGGATCTACAGGCTCGTTTCTCTATGCGACGGCGGCTTTAAGAAGCATAAGCCACTACACAACTCTCTAGAGGGCTGCTATCAACGATTCTGGATCTGGGCCAATTACACAGGCGCTGGGGCAGATGACGAGTCGAATTTAGACCAGCGACTGGAGTTCAGCCCGGACTTGCAGAACGAGGTAGCCCGGTTGCTTAAACTCATCATCAGGAGCCTGGCGGGAGGCAAGACACCATTTCACATCCTTACTCGACTTGAAGCTGACATACACAGGCTTCCCATCAGTAACAGCTATACATGGAGCTCTCGATGAATTAGAGCGCATCATGATGATCAAGTCAAGAGACAAAGGCTGCTTTGAAGTGGCTGCGGTCGGGTGGGTGAAGAAGCTACACCCTGATATACCGGAGACTTTGGCCGAACAGCTCGGCATAACCATCGAATGCAGGCGTCTTCGCTTAATCCGTCAAAAGAAGTACCAACAGGGATTTCCCCTCGAAAGATATCAATATCGTCAGGCACGGCTTGCGCAGCCAGAAGATCAGATGGTGGCCGCGTTGGACGATGTGACCCTCACCGACGCTCCGATATTGGATCCAGCACTACCACGAGATCCTGCTTCGTATCAAGAGAGTGTCGGGTCTGAGGCCACAGCATCATCGGCCGCTCGAGCATATTCGTACCCAAAAGCATCCAAGCCATCACAAGGCTCCGAATACTGTCAGCGTAAATGGTGTGTCAACAAGCTCAGGACTGAGGACCTGCGGTACACAAGACGGTGGGCGTATGTCTGCCTATGAAGCTGTCAATCGTCGTTGGTAAGTAAGCTTACAAGATACAGATTGCCCTGGAACGAAGACCTTCAGCCGTACACGTGTATCGACAGTCGGTGTGATTGGCCGCCGATATACTTCACAAGCGTAGACCAATGGCAGAAGCATATGGTGGAGGAGCACACCACTGGCTGGACGGAACAGATCCACAGGAAGGTCCAGCACTGTAGCCGACACGTAGACAAAGAAGGCCATAGAGAACGCAAAGAGTTCCAAGACCTCGAAGCACTCCGCGACCATTTGACTGACGAACATGGTCTGACGGAAATTGATCTTCGACGCGCCCTTTCTCGATACAGATCGCCGGGAACATGTCTGTTCTGTAATTTCGATGCCGTTGCCAAAGCAGTTCCAGGAGATGAGCTTGAAACAAGCCAGAATGCGAACGTCGGTGACGCTGCTATTGAAGCACCTGAGTCCGAAGAGCTTGTTCGAGTAAAACTCTGGGAGCATATCGGCCGTCATCTCAAAAACCTGGCTTTCTTATCGCTAAAATGGTTCGAAGAGAACGAGGTAGATGTCGACGGGGGTGATCGAAAGGCGAAGGCTGCGCAGAGGGAAGGATCTAGTGATGATGATGATCGGGAAGCGGCATTGATGTAGCGGGGTACTAAGTTTCATCCTCAACAGTACCTAGGTATACTTCTTAGACAGCCTTCAATCTACTATACCTGAACATTGAGCGAGGATGAGCCGCTTGATTAGCCGGTGCGATGGTCAAAAGAGAAGATGATTACGACAGACAGACAAATTAGGCCGATGCGTACGCACGTACGCTAGCGCGATTACTGAACTGTTCCGAGGTTCCGAGGGACGCGTCTTCCCCGCATCGAAGCTAATCATGCAACCAGCACCAACCCTACGAGCTATGCACGACAAGCTTTCGGTAGTAGATATCTTGCTACCCATCTTCACGACAAAATGTGAGGAATAGTGACCCAACATTCCAAGTTTACACTCAACAGGCCGCCTCCTACTCCAACGTCGTCAACATGTCCAAGAACACCACCAACAAACCCGTCATCGCCGTCGTAGGCGCAGGCCCAGGCATCGGCGAAGCAGTAGCCCACCGCTTCGCCTCCGAAGGCTTCGTCGTCGCGCTCCTCGCGCGAACAGAAGAAGCGTTACAAACCATGGCCGCGAACATCAACAGCGACGTGGGTACCGGGACGGCGCATTACTACATCACAGACCTACGCGTCGAAGACACAGTAACATCGTCCTTCAAGCGCATCCGCGAAGAGCTAGGCCCCGTCAATGTGCTTGTTTACAACGCTGGCGCGCGCCGCGTAAACGGGCGTTCGCTCATCGATACCACGTCTGAGGAATTCGAGAACTTCACCAAGATCAACCTCTTCGGCGCGTTCTGGGCGAGCAAGCTGGTCATTCCGGATATGCTTGCCGCGGGCAAAGGTACCATCCTTTTCACCAGTGCGACAGGCGCGTTGCGAGGTATGCCAGGTCTGGCGTCGTTTTCACCGGGAAAGTTTGGACTGCGCTCGTTGTGTCAAGTCATTACGCGCGAGTATCAGGCGAAGGGGATACATGCTGTTAATATCATTGTCGATGGGCCGGTTGATGGAAAGTTGATTGGGGGTGTGATGAAGAGGCAGTGGGAAAGGACTGGGCAGACGGAGAAAGCGGCGGATGTGGATAGCCATCTTGTTCAACCGAGGGATTTGGCGCATACGTATTGGTTCTTGCATACGCAGCCGAGGAGTACGTGGACGCAGGAGTTGGATGTTAGGGCTATGAAGGAGACGTTGTTTACGAAGCTATAGTTGAATGGCAAATTGTATCAGCATTTATCGATGTGTTCTGTCACAAACATCTGACAGGGTATGAGATTTCATTGTAATGCGACATCTTCACTGCTTATCTACTGCGAATAACGGGCTCGGTATAGCCCTTTTACTGTTTTACAATACTGCGTTGACTAGACCGCGTTGTGGGCTCTGCTTAGGCATCGACTCCAGTCTCTCCCCAAAAGAATGTTGTGACATCTTCAAGGCCTACAAGTGAGCTTTCACAGTCTTCTCGGCTTCTTCCGCCTTCGCTTGCTCAGCAAGTACCCTCCGTAGTATCTTGCCCGCATTGCTCTTCGGTATCGCTTCCACAAAGCGGATACCGCCCCTCAACTTCTTGTGCGGCGACACACGCTCGTCGAACCATGAACGTAGCTCTCCCTTCAGCTTCTCATCGCCCTTGTACCCCGCTGCCACAACAACATACGCTCTCGGTAACTCCGTTACCTTCGACTCATCGTACACGCCAATCACGGCGACATCAGCGACCGCCGGGTGGCCTATCAAGAGAGCTTCGAGTTGCGCCGGCGCGACCTGAAAACCGTTATACTTGATGAGTTCTTTGACGCGGTCGGTAATGTACAGGTTCCTATGCTCATCGAACTTTGCGACATCGCCGGTGTGATACCACCCGTCAGCATCGAAAGCAGCGGCCGTAGCTTGGTGATTGTTGTAGTACCCTTTGAAAATGTTCGGTCCTTTCAGACACAGCTCACCCTCTTCGCCTATCGCCATCTCCTTTCCGTCGCTCACGACCTTGGCTGACATGCTGGGCAACAAGCATCCGGATGTGCCCAACGCCGTGGTCCAGGTTTCAATGCGTTGCACGCTCACGGCGGGTGCGGCTTCAGACATGCCATAGACTTGGAGTATTTGAGCGCCGAGGCGCTTGTGTATCGCGGTGATGACGTCGACGGGTATTGGGGCGGCAGAGGAATGCAGGTCGCGCAGGGACGTGAGGTTGTACTGGTCGACAATCGGGGCCTTTGCCAGAGCGAGTGCGACGGGCGGAACGATGTAAGCGATGGTGACTTTCTCTTTGTCGACCGTCTCGCAGAATCTCTTGAGGTCAAATCCTGACATGATGTGATTGGTCACGCCGTAGAAGATGGTGTTTAGCAGTAGTGTAGCAATTCCTGCATTTATCAGCGCGTGTTTGATTCTGAACTCGTTGAGCTTACCGTAGATGTGATACATGGGTAGGAAGCCAATACCCGTGTCTGTCTTCCAGTTGGTGTTGTAGCCATTTGCCGTCGTAGCCTGAATGCTGTTTGCTACGACGTTCTGATGCGTCAGCATGACACCCTTTGGCTCGCCAGTGGTTCCAGAAGAGTACACCAGGTACGCCAGATCTTCTTTGGGGTCGATTTTGACTCGGTTCATGCTGACTGACGCGCTCTTCAGAGAAGAGAAGTGCTGAACGGATTTTGTAGGCTTGTTGCTCCCAACCAGAAGTATACGATCCAGAGGAAGGCCGATTTTCGATGCTGCCTCGCAAGCGACCTCAAGACATGCCGCATTTGTCAACAGTCCCTTGGCTTTCGAAGATGTCAACTGAGACACCAGCTCATCGACGGTGTACATGAAGTTTAGAGGACACACGACACCTCCAGCAAGTAAGACGCCGAATGTAGCAGGCGCGACATCGATATCATTCGGCGTCATGATTGCCAAAACATCGCCTTTGCGCCATTGCCATTGTTTCTGGAGGCCCTGCCCGAACCGTTCCGCGGTGGACCGTAAATCAGCATATGTGAGCTTTCGGCCGCTGGCAATGTCTACGAAGAGCACTGCACCTGTTAGCTATCGCTTGACAGACGTGTTTGAACACATACCATGATCATCCGGGTACTCGCGATCCGGTCGCTCGAGAAAATACGTCCATGCATCGACGGCGGGTATGGTAATGGGCGGGTATGACGACTCAATCGGCATTGTTAGCAGTATAAGTATAACAGGAATGACTGGTTATGGTGCAGCGTTCAGCTCGAAATAGATGTTATATTTCCCATCGACGTGATCGTCATTGAAGTAGCGCGTTCAAACATTAGGGTTTGGTACTTCAATGGCTACGTCCGTAACACTAACGCGTCAGCGGCGATCGCATGTGATTAGTCGTGGGTACCCAAGTCGGCACCGTGAGACCTCGGGAGAAACCATTAACATGGGCCCAGCGCTCAAGGCGGGCAAAATTCCCTCCGCCCGCACACAGGCATTTGGAGCCTGCCAGAGCATAATATCACGCGATAGCTGTAATCCTGAGCCCCTAGGTGCTGGCTCGGTTGAGCTCACACAAGCGGAACCGTAACTTCGGGTGGAAGGCGATCGTCTGTCTCTGCGGAGGAGAGTCCATGCTGTAGTTTGAGCTGAGGACGCGCAAATCAGCGTGTTGTGGTTGATGAAGGTAACATCGAGTTCGGCGGGATCGAAAGCTGGGAAAGCGCGCCAGCCGAAAGCAGACTAGGCTAAGATCACGTGGTCTCGGCAGATCTCCGCGAAGTCCGGCTCGTGCGCACCATTAGCAACAAGAAGAGACATCACGCTCTTCACATGCATCAAACTCGTCACACATGGCAACGGCACGGTGGAGAACGACTTCTCTTATTTGTTCATTCACGCGAAGATTGCCTTCGCGACGTCCAGCAGGCAGAGACTCCATTGATGGTCTGTAACGCGTCGAGCTCTGCAGTGGCTCAGCAACCAAACCCCCAATCGCCAGAAACGTAGCAGAAAGCTATCATCTTTCCTGGATCGACTTCGTCTCCACCTCGCTTCTGGGATGCTGTCTTCAAGTCTTCCGCCCTTGTCTCTTTCATGTCTGGCCCTTACACATGACCCGTGTCTCCCATCGCCATCAGCCGCACACTCTAGTCTGCGCCAATCTTCTTTGCTGAGGCACCCTCATCAACTTCCGCCTGCATGGCCTCCTTGCTCCTGTTGTCCTTGCCCTCAAGTGATGGTTCGCCGCCTTCTTCCGCCACGATCAGATTACCGTCTTCTCCAATACCAGCAGCTACCTCCTCGCCGTCCTCAGCCACGTCTACCTCTCCTACGGGGGCGCCATGCTTAGCAATCGCCCCCAGCGCGATAGTAAGATGACCGAGAGTCATGTGATCGTTTCCGATTGTGCTGTACACTGATCTATGGCCGGTGTAGAGCATGATAAGCTGGAAGAGCGCCTTCGTAATGAAGGCGAAGCCACTCACACGTCCACTCTTTGTGAACTTGCTGAAAACGCCAGTGCCCTTGAATCCTTGTGATCCATGCACCTGCTGATTCACACTGCCGTCTTCAAGAGTGTGGTAGTGCAGACCTTTGAACTTTCCCGTCGTCTTTGCGTTGACTTCGGTCAGCCATAGCTCGTTTTTTATCTCTCCAGATCGAGTGGAGGTGTAGCCGACTCTGAGAGCGAAGCGGCCCGGCACATGTTCTTTGATCTCGAAATCGTCGTGCGCAAGCAATATGGAGAGCCCAACTGGATGAGCATGCTTCAGGTAGTTGAACAACTGGTCTTGGGTGTATATGCCATTCTTCGAAGCTGGGAACAAAGTCAGTGACATTCCGGCCTCGAATAAGTGCGACGTACTGTGCTTGTAGCGCTCGTATTTACTACACGCCATTTCGCAATGAGTACGTGCTCTGGACGGATGTGGTGTACGAGTAAGAAGAGATTGAAATCTCTGAGGGTCGAAGGAGGGTGGCTTTTGTGAAACACCTACACTAGCATATCCAAGGTGAAGGTGAGTTAACTTGGTGATTTCTCGGCTGAGCGACGGATACCAGATACTGAGTGACTTCAACAGACAAAGCCAGCTTGTACTTTGCTGACCGTCTGGTACGCGGCTCCGAACAGAGGAGGTGGAGGTAGAGTGGGTTAGTGTTGCAGTCACTGCGTCTCGCAGTCGTCGATCGTCCGAACTACCGGTTTCGCAACCTTCACTATAGCCTCTTTGACGGAGCTGCCGACCGCCTCCCAGTGCTCGCCGAGCCAAGTCAGATACAAGTCAAGGTCCGTGTGGTGCAGTCCAGGCACCTCATGCAATAACTTTCGAACAAAGTCACGAAGGTCGCCACCTTCACTACTACCAAACAACGCTGCGTGCGCGGCCTGGTACATCGCAGACTTGGACGTATAAATGCCGTCACCGCCTACTCCCGTGGCTTCAATCATCGCGTCGGCGTAGATCTCGCGGTACATTTGTAGCGACAAAGGAGAGTGCGGCGCATCCAAAACATCGTACTCTGGCATCCAGTCTAATGTCAAGAATTTTGGAAGAGAAGAATAGCCAAGGCAGCGTGGGGCGGTGGAAGCGCGCTCCCAGTCGATGATGCCTGTCACCTCGCCGGTATCGGGGTCGCAGAAGACGTTCTGAAGGTTGAGGTCGTCATGGCGAAGGACGAAAGACTCTTCGTTATCACTATGCTTAACAGATTTTGCGAAAGCCTCGCTTCGGAATAGTGCATCCAGGACTCCATGATAGACGCCGGGCCTTCCTTCATGTCCCTCGAACGGCCAGACATCAAGCAGCTCATCCATGAAGCGCGCCAGGCTTGAGTCGTACACTGGCTTCTCAGTAAGAGCCTTCTCCGTGGCCATATCTTCGGCGGTCAGATCTGGGTCGATATTCCACTCCCAAAGCGAACCAATAGCAGGCGTTCCGTTTGCGTCAACAGTGTCAAAGTCCAACGCGCCAATCTTGTCGAACTCGAGATGACGCAGCTCGGCCATGGCTTGGGCCAGTGAACGAAGTATGCGCTCGCGCTTTGACGCCAGTTCCTTGGAAGGAAAGTCGACTGTGTCCCGATCCCAGTCTTTATGAATGGGGTGAGCGTCGTGCCAGACTTCAGAGGCGGATCTGCCTGTGCAGGCCTTCATCAAGATGTAAGGCGCACCTAGCGTGTTATCCAGCTTGTCGTTGTAGGCCACAACCTCAGGGACGGGACACTTGGTGCGCTCGCCAATAAACTTAATAGTGCCAAACTCCGAACGAAGCATGTACGCATCCTGCTTCTGCCAGCGAGCGGCAGTGCCGACGCAAGGAATCTTAACCACGTATTCACCGTCGTTAAGGCTATTGGTAACCCGATATATGCGGACGAAGTTGTAGCCACCCTCATATTCGCCGCAGAAAATGTAGTCTTCTGCGTAGTATTCGGAGGAGGGGTTGAGATGTTGCCAGAGGGTTTTCTGGAAGTTCGAATGATCAAGCGCACGGAGTGGTTCCCAGTCCGCGCGATCAAGCGCTTGGTTATCAGAGCCCGCGCTTGTTAAAGAAGAGGTTACCGAACCGTCCGACTTAGGCGTGGATGATTTATAGTCTTCAACCTCCTCGTCAGAGTTGGCACCGCTGGGCGAGACAGCATTTTCGCGCTGGATGAGGGCGACGATTGCGGAGTTGTCATTGCCGCAGGCACGCTCAACTACTTTGAGCCAACCTTCTCCACTATCCGTCGTAGTTTCGGGCGTAAGCAACCGCTGAGGTAGCTTGGGCAGCGTTTCGATGATGGTGCAGATACCAGAGATAACGTTGAGGCTTGGTAGCAAACGCGCGGCTGTTTGTGACGCAACGACCTCGTGAGACACCTCTGCCCACCCCAGAACCTTTTTCTTGCGCTGGCGGGCGAAGCGAGCTCGGAACTCCTCGTAGGCAATGGACAGTATTGTGGGTAGATTGGGATCCTGCTTGCTGGGACACTTGCGACTCTTGAGATCGTTAACGATGATGGGTGCAGGCGGTGTCTTGCGAAGCCTGCTTTGAGAATTGTCTTGAGGGCGCTTGGAGCTGGAGCTGAAGTCCAGACCAGGGACCAAAGACGTGAGACTGAAGCGCATGTTGGCACAAGTACTTGGAGGTAATTATTGGCCGACGTGGGCGTGATGTTCGGTCGAGTGGCAGTCGAACTACCCGTAGCAAGGTAGTGTTTCGGGGTGGAGAGAATATATAGGGCTCGGAGAAGAGAGCGACGTACACACAAGTCTCACAGACTGGGTCCAGCGCCAAAGTGGAGCCCGAGCTTGTCTAGCCACGTGAAATGCGCGGCATAGTGAATGATGTGTATGTTGACCGATAGAAACGAACCACCAACTAGCAAACACTATGCAAGTATCCTATCCAAGCGGAATGTTACTTCGAAATGGCTGCAACAGTGACTCGTCCTTGTATATACGGCCTCTGCTATAGTCTTCCTTTCGATATCGAGTGAATACATGCAGGAATGTCGAGGCAGTTGCCTTTATTGCCAGTCTTCCCACTTGGAAGCGGATATTAGCACAGATCGTAACCGCGCATGGAATCAGCCCAGCTCAATGAAGCGTATGCACTACAAGGCAGCCATGTTGTACGAGAATGCCTCGGCGCTACAAGGCCCTCGATCTCTATACACTCCGGCCCTACTCACTACCGCCCGATATACACTTGCAGACAGTTCCCCAACTTGGCTAACCCGAAAGATCAACCAAGATGGTAAAGCTCGCAGGAGGATGGATAGACCTCAACGAGAGATACGGAGACATGTTCAGAGGCGACTTCAACCCCAATATTTGCAACAAGAACACCCTCAAAGTCTTGGGCTTGACACATCACTGTAAAGATTGCAAGGTCGGTACATCCTGTACTACTGTCTGCGCCCCCTGTCCACTTCAACTGACCGCCACCTCAGGCACCCCCGTCGAAGAAGTGCTTTTGGCAACTACATTTCGGTCTGTAAAGCAGAACCAGTCGCCCGAATAGACACTGACGAGTCTACAAGCGTTCTGTGATGAGTGCGGCGAGCGCTTCACTGTCTGGTCCAGAGGATGCGGAAAACATCCTTACAGCCACGGCTACAACATCGTCTTCAAGGCTGTACGTGATGACTGGCCCGCCTCGGAGATAGAGCGACTATTGGCGCCAAGTGGTACTGTTCAGGCCGAGGACTTCGCGGACCTACTCGACAACGGTGCCTCCTCCCCTAGTCCAGACCCCGAGCATGGCGATGTGGCTGAGCTCGCTGGAATGGTCGCGAACGCCGACATTAATACGAACGGCGAAACCGACGAGAACGCTACCTCTCCCCCAACGACCCCATTGCCTGAAGCTGACCCCAACGGCCAAGGCCAAGAAGGTGTCGCGTCGCCTCCTCCCGTCCCCGCAGACAAGACTTCCAGAACGTCGCAATGGCTTCCCACCGGTCTCAAAGGTAAAGACGCCAAGGGCATGAGACATGCGCGTGCGGCGACCGGGAGAAAGATACGTCGGGACACGGAAGCTGCTATGCAGGCTGAGATAGCTGCGGATGAACGTGTGAAAGAGGCGCAGAGAGCTAAGAGAGCCGCCGATGTAGCTAAGAGAGCAGAGCAAGAGAAGACGAGGATGGGGAGAACTGGCCATAAGAGGAAGTAGGCAATGCTTCCGTTCAAGTTATGCATTTACAGTTGAGTTGTGGTCCTGGGTCACGGGCGGTAACGCTGCTCGGCGTTTGATTCGCGCGCATGGGATATGTAGGAGACGACATGAATTGAGATGATGATACGTATGATGTGCATGTATACAGAACCAGCTGTGCACCAGTACGATCAGCCATCTACATCGCATAAGAACACTACAACGCGACTTACAATGCTCCATATCGCATTACTACTCAGCTTCCACCACCCATAACCTTGGTCAAGCTCATAGGCAGGAAATTGCCAAGCCCAAGACCACCACCCTCCATGCCACGCAGCACCTTGCGCATCGCAGTGCCACTTTCCCCCTTGGAACCCGACCCGTATACAAACTCCGCTACCATCCTCAGCTGCATAGGCGCCTTATCATCGCCGTAGTGGCTGATCATCTCAGCCTTTGTGACCTTCTTCCGCACATCGTTCCATTCGCCGCTCTCAGCCCACTTCTCGCACTCTTGCCTGTGTTCGGCGTTCCACCACGGAGGTAGCAGGCCCCGCCGAGTCTCAGCCAAGTCTAGGAACTTCCTGAATGGCTCAATGCTTGAAGACTTGCCCGTATAGATGCTGTTCGGTGTGGGCTTATTCTCGAGCTTGTTATCGTCTTCGGATCGCATACGGAAGGAGTCGATGAGGAGTCTGTAGACGTCTTTCTCGGGGCGGTCGTGGAGGTACTTTCCGTCGTCGAGTCGTGTGAAAGGGTTCGGTACGTGCTTCTCGAGAGTCTTCATGCGAGGTGCGGCGTAATTGGAGCTGTGTTCGGTTTTGGGTGGGAAACCATCGTAGGCATTGGCATTGGCTTGCGCTTGCTGGGCGCAGATCTTCTTGTGGTTCTTCCAGTCGTCTTTCTGGCACTCGCGGCTGCAGTATGGTGTTGTCTTGCATTTAGCGCACCGCTGAAGTGTGCCTTTCTCGGTATCAGCCTCGGCTTTGTTGCATCGGGCGCAATTGGACGGCATCTCGCTCTCGCTCGTGCTCGTGGTGCTGGTTTCTTTGGATCCGAACGGATTTGGGACGAATAGCCAGACGAATACTGCAATGAGTACCCAGACAAGCGTTGAAGGCATGATGAAGTGTACGGCACGTTGGCGAGCTGGATTGATATATTGAAAGAGGGGGAATTCGGTCCGTGGGGAAGACGCCCACAATGTGAAAGCAAAATCTCGCGATCAACGTCATCGTCCTAAAACACGCTAAGGAATTAAAGTGGGGTCGAAGATTCCATCCCGCCGCTCCACGTTCCCGCCACGTACTCACGTGCTCTGGCGTACACGTGCTTCTACAGCCACGTGCCTCAGCTCCTTCTGAGCAGCATAAAACTCGCAGCATCTCAATCTTTCTGATCTTTCGTTCTTGAAAATGAGTAGTTCGTGATTGATGGGCGGTGTGACACTCTCGAAAAAAGCAAATGGAATATTCGAGGTGTGGCGCATGCGGGACGAGCAGCTCCGAAACACGCATCGTCGGCGCCCGCGTGATCCTATGTGCCTTCTCATCATCCATTCAGACATTCTTAATCCATGACGAAGGCTCCTCTCATGTCACGATCAGCATCTCAACACATCGCGGTTGCGGGATGCCATCCTTGCGTATAGAAGCATGTGCGGGGATAGACGATGGAACGCCGGATGCGGGGAAGCTACACGCGTCTACCTCCCCACTTACGACGTAGTTCACGGTCGATAACGATTACAAGAGCGCGACGACTGGATGTGTGTACATTCAAGGAACGCCTGATTGCCATACATTCCATATAAATGGCCATCTTTTTCCGCAGAAATCTGGCGAGACAGCAGAGTTCCATGCTACCCTTGAAGCACACACACCACCTCCAGCAACAACATCATGCAAAACCCATCCGTAGTCTTGTATGGGCCGAAGAATGCAAAGATCGAAGATATCGCAGTGCCAGAGGTCATTGACCCCCACGATGTGATTGTTCGCATCAATTATGTTGGAGTTTGCGGAAGCGATGTAAGATCACCCATCATCATGCCACACCCCATCAACCGACTAACCAAACACAGGTCCATTTCTGGCACCACGGCGGCATCGGCAAAATGGTAAACCCCACCACCGGCATTGTAATGGGCCACGAGGCCTCCGGCACAATCCACTCCGTCGGCCCATCCGTCAAAAGCGTCAAACCGGGTGATCGCGTAGCTATCGAACCGGGCATACCATGTCGCATTTGCAAAGCGTGTAAATCTGGTGTGTACAACATGTGTCGCGATATTCGTTTTGCTGCGGCGCCAGGGCCGCCCGATACGCAAGGTACGCTATCGAAGTACTTCCGTAGCGCAGAGGACTTTGTGTACAAGATTCCCGATAAGATGGGGTTGGATGAAGCGGTGCTTGTTGAGCCGCTTGCGGTTGCTGTACATGCTGTCAAACTGGGTGATGTGAAGGCCGGCGAAACGGTTGTCGTGATGGGGAGTGGGACAATCGGGTTATTCTGCGCGGCGGTCGCACGTCAGTTCGGTGCGCATCGCATCATCATTGTCGATATTCTGGAGAAGAAGCTAGAGTTTGCAGCGAGCTACTTGAAGTGCGAGACCTTCCGTTCGTCACTCGACGCAAGTCCAGAAGACAACGCCGAGGCGCTACTCAAGAAGTTCGACCTTGTTGAGTATGGCATCGACACCACTGGCGGTCTTGTCGACACGGTCATCGAAGCTTCCGGTGCGACGACGAGTATCGACATGGGCATCAACCTTGTGCGCCCAGGTGGAAAGTATGTTCAGACCGGGCTTGGGAAGCCGAAGATCGAGTTCCCGATTGTGGCCATGGGCCAGAAAGAACTCATGGTGAGGGGGTGCTTCCGATACGGTGCAGGGGATTACGAGCTTGCGGTGGGTTTCTTGGAGAAGGGACTGATCGATGTGAAGCCGTTGATTAGTTCGGTGACCCCGTTTGAGAAGGCGACCGACGCATGGGAACAGACTTCAAGAGGAGAGGGTATCAAGAATTTGATTCGAGGGGTGGAGGGCTGATGGTTAATGTGGCTCAAGAGAAAGAAATTTCTTCTCAATCCATCTGCAACACGACTTTAACAACCAAGCGTCTGTCCTTGCTTCGTCGAGCGTGCGTTGTCCATCCTCCAGACACATTTTGCCCACATCTTCAAATTTCTCCATGTGTGGTACACGCACTCAGTATCACGGTCCAAACAACAGCCCACCTTGCTATTGGGGATATCTGGGCGACGCTCGATTTTCTTAACAAGCCTTCTCAATGTCGTTCCTTCATGTGCAAAGTTCAATGAATCCGCGTGGCTCCATCGAAACCCCAACGGTGGAGCGACCAAGTCTACCAGGTTTGCGTATCCATCAATCCAGAATACCGGGCAGGCTTGTCGAGCATTCTTCTTCCAGTGTTTTGGACAGACCTGGTCGAGAATGTCCGTGAGATAGAGGAACATGCTCATCTTAAGTCTCCCATATGTAGTATAGTGGGTATCGTGGTGTACATTGTCGCCTCTAGTGTGCTGAAGCTCGACAGCAACACAGATCTCGTCTACCTCAGTACCGTCATGAGTAGTTCCCTTCAGATTGAGCAACCCGTTCATGTTGATGCGAACATCTGTGGGGTTAGTGGCGCGGGTGAGTGCCACTTGGACTAAGATCGTTGGTAGTGCGGACGTCGAATACAGGCTTTGAGAGGCGATCAGTTCCACCAGATGATTCCGATGCCCGCCTTCGCGGACCCCCACCTCAGCGTCATATCTTCTCACCAAATCCGCGTCGCTGTAGTCACTGACCCTCTCTTTAGCCGTAAGCTCTATGACCACCGGCATGTATTGACTAACAGCTTGAACTAAAGATTCCCGGAGTGTGGCAGAAACATTGAAAACATTCCGATGGAAATTGAGTTTCCGGGCGGAATTTATGGGAAGCCGAAGACGATCTTCCGCGGTGATTGCATAAGCACAGATCATGCCTTGCACATCGTCAGGAAGATCCGTAAGTGAATTGACTGGCCTTGCGGCGGACCATCTGACCACGCCAGACGCTGGGTGGATAGAAAAAGAACGATGAACACTTCGCGATCCTGTGTAGTACTGGACCTGGCCGTCTTTGCTGACACGGTGCATAGTGACTGACGAGAGAAGCAATTCTGAGTTGGAAAGGCGTCGAAGATCTAACGTTTCATCCTTGGCAAGAGCCGCGAACGCCTTGTTCAGTCGGACAGTGCCTGCTACGATATCCGCAGGACTCGTGCTGTTGGGATGCATGCTTCCGGGACATTTGAATAGGGGTCTAGGGTGGGCGAAGGTAATGCTACAGCGTGGTAGGTCTCCGTTCCAGACTATCCTTAGTAACGGCAGTAGGTTTTGGTTCATTTCGGCCTTACCACATCCAAAACTGCAGACAGTCGAGATGTCGATCACTACCTTTTTTATCAACCTCATCTGAGAGCCAAGTGAGGTGAGCCAAATTGGCGCATAGTTGATCTGGTGGTAGTCATCCCGGTCGCTGGCTTGACACCGCCTGATTGCTTCGCGGTCACACCTCTGACCAACTCTGGTAACGAGGAAGGTGTTGTTGGCGTACAAGATGCCAACCGTTTCGTGATACATCTGGCGACAAGACTTCAGCAGGCCGATCCCAAGAGATGCTTCATGCCTGAACCCCTGCGCTTCTTTCCATTCAGAGTCTTGCCTCTTCTGCCAATTCTTCAGGCTGCGGGGAACATGCCTGCCCTTCCGAGAACCATAGCCCACTCTGTCATCTTCTGAGCTGTCATCGGCGAAAGACTCATCGTCTGCACGAATCTCATAAGGCCGTCGGTCGTAGTAGAAGTCGGAGTTATGAATGCGTATTCCAGGTCGTCGTGGCAGCACGAACACGTATTCGTTGATGGTGTTGCGTACCTCCGCCGGTAGCGTCAGGAAGGACAGCGCGGACGGATCTAGAGGAGCCGAACAGCCTTTTGGAATTTCCATGGCAGTGTATGGAA